GTATTCGTAACAAGGCCTTTGATCAGGAGACCCAGAAGGAATGGAGACCCAGAGGAGAACACATCTAAACAAGTGGGCCTGACTGCATTACTTATTAGCAATGAAGATGCAGGAGAGTTAGGTCTGGTATTTCATATTTTTTTCACACACACAGGTGCAGACAGAGCTTATTCCCCTGGACATCAGAAGCCAAATGGTAGTGTGATTGTACAGATTTGTGGCACTGCAGATCACAGTAACTATGAAGGAATCGTTTCTTATTTACATTGATCAAATGCAAGGATTTATCATTATTTGAGCAGATTCCCTTCTCTTGTGAAGGTATGGACTCCTTCTGGTGCATAGTCCGAGTGTTAGCACCCTCCAGTAACTAACCCAAATGACCTATCTCATTGCAGCCATTGACTGTCCAGGCAATGCAGTCAAACCAGATCCTGATATCCATCCCAATCAGGTACACTTCCCAACAGAGCGCACTGGACAGCCATATTGAGCGGGCTTCCTGGGACATGCTCGGAGTACAATTTCGACAAAATACCCAGCATTAAAACCTGACCCTCTCTGGATCTGTACCGCTTGGTTTCAAACATGGGCAGTAGCTAAACCAACCAAACCGCGGTTCTAGAGTTTGTAATATAAGGTGGTTTTGTACCTTCTCAGAAAATATGAAGAAAAACACAAAGCAGAGTGATATCTGGTCACATGGTAACCTTGTGACTGTTGCCAGTCACCCCATCGCAGCACTTTCTTGCCCAAAAACACAAACCTGTTAAAAAAGCAATCTATAAATTACGCCAGCCTCCTTCTCAGCTCACGTTCTGAACACATCTCTGACAGCTGACCACTTCTTCAGAGAAAACAAAATGTTCGACAAACTAAAATTAAATGTCAATTGTCGCCACTTTGTGTTATTTAAAACGCCTTTACTCATCACTGTAGTTCCAACTAGACAACAGCTGCTCACTTGTCAACTGCAATGGCTGCACATGCACTCTAAGGAACACATATGACGACTGCACTTTGGATGAAAGGAACTGAAACCCAGAAAACTTGAAATAGGCTTAATTTGAGCATTTGGCAATTTAACACAACTTGACATTCTCGTTCACCATTGACTACTGTTTCCATCTTCCCAATTGCCCCAACTGACCTCAACTGTTTTACGATAATCCACCATTGCTCAAAACATTTTAAGATGAAACAAGCAATTCCCGTCTGCCTTTTTGCACTACATTTTCACTATTGCACTACGTTTTGCTCCTGTAGCTCCTGCTTTGCTTATTGTGTATATGGAGACCTTGGTGTAGGTGAGGATTTTTGGGGGGATGGAGTTTTGGATAAGTGTTTTTGGTCACATTTACTCATAATTAAATTGCCAACTCCATGACCTCCTCAAATTTGGTATCAGAGGTTAGGATTAAAACGGCTTGCTGGGGGGACAGGAGGAGAGAGGGAAAGCGAATGAAAGATGTGGTGTTGGACAGAGGTGGTGGACCTCTCTTCCAAAAATCAGACAGAAAGAACAAAATATAGGCAGTAAAGGATGTAGTAATTCAGCCCCTGTGGCAGTCAGCTAAAAGGAGCCAATGAGAGGAGGCCTGGAAATGAGCTCTCTATCCTCTCAGCTGAAAATCCCACATGCCCCCAAAGTTAAAACGGATGTAGGAAAAGAAAGTGAAGCGACAATGGAAGTCAGATGTTACTGTAGTCGCTGGCCTCTGTGAACAATGAATATTTTCTGGCACGATCCCAGACCGGGTTCAGTGTGACGAGCATGAAACTGGCAGAAAGCAGAGACCTGGAATTCCAAATTCACCATATCCCAAACTAATGTAATTTGTAGCTGTCTGCTCCATCTCGGGGCCGGGTTACAGTTCCTGCTTTTAGACCCGAGGGTTACGAGGAACCAGACCACCTTTCAGATTTTAAAATGAATTAACTTGAGACGGCTTCTTACTTAATTACACCAAAGTTAAGACAATACGACTTGGCTCCCGGCTGTGTCTGAGCAGCTAAGACTCCATCCTCCTGTTGATGTCCACAAGCACAAAACACAATGGCTGTAAAATTCTCTCTTCACAGCTTTACAGTTACAAATGTACGAGTTACTTCCCCTCACTGGTCAAAGGTAGCTGGCAAATATAAACAAAGCTCTAATTCAGTCTATGTGTTTTATGTCAAATCTCCAACACAATGCCAGCTTATAAACTAATTCCCATCACAGGATCGTTTCATTCTGCAACACATACGTCTTCCAATCACTTCTAGATTTTTACCTTGACCTTTTAAAACATTGAATGCCACATTTCTGGTTCAGTGTCACATACAAGCTGTTCAAAGCAGCTTGTGCTTGAAATGTAAACATTGCCTGCATTTTTAAGAGGACGTATGGCAGAAATAAAAAAAAATTCTGCCTGGCTATGGCATTCCTAATAGCACAGTATCTGACTGATTTGTTCTAATACAAACTAAATGCCCCATTTATCACTAGTAATTGCTAACATGCCGTTCTATTGTGGAATTACACCACGATGCAATTACATTCAGATTGAAAGCGCACTTTGTTGAAAAAAAACCTGTGTGGTAGAGCAATGTTGCTCAACGTGGGACAACAATGCCAACGCAGCACGTAGCTAGAGAGCTGCTCTTCAGAATGATCGGACACCCTGGATCACGGAGTGAGGAAACACGGTGCTGCCCTCAAGCTTCCTCACGTGGCGAGCTCCTGATTCCAATCATTCTAAGCGAGGCCAGTTGCCAAGTAAGGCCAGGTCCTTACAGGACTGGCAGTTCTATTAAAGCTACAGGCCCTGCATTTTACAGCAACATTCTGACTTACTCCATTGACGCTGGGATAATCTGCCATTACCATCAGCCTCGCTCGGTCTCTCTCAGTGAACAGCAGACAGGAATGAACAGTACCAAATGCCAATTCTGGAAACACCCTGCAGGCAGGTAAGGCTATAAATTGGGACACACACACACAAACAATACAGGTCTGCCAAGGGAACACTATAGGGGAGGTGGGTTACAAATCAATCTCAAGAACTAATGGGTTTTAGACCCCAAATCCTTGTGCACAGGGTATGGGAACAGCAATACAGACTGCCAAGAAGATGTATATATCGAATGACTGTCAGATTCCAGGACAGACAAGCGGAAAGCTTGCGTTGGCACATATTGACTTAATTTGCGTATATAACTGTGTCTAACTACTCCAACATCAGGAGATTAAAAAATTCACAGCAGAATAGCAGCCCCAAGCTACTGCTGGAAAAGTGAATGTGAAGTTATCTGTATGTTAGTGTCTCTAAAGATATAAAGTTTTGGGACGATAACTATTTCCAGCGGCTTGAGAAGTTCTCCCGGTGTGAAAGGCAATATACAAATGTAATTTTGTTGTTGTTGTACACAGAGAAGATTTTTTGTGAGGGGGAAAGGGAGAGGAAAGAGAGCTGAGGTTTATCTCTCTGTCTATTGTGTCACATGCAAGTCCTTGCCCATTCCAAACACAGATACAAGCATACAGCTACAGTCCCCCACATTTTTCTCCCCTTGCTTATTGAGGGCACCTTAGCTCCCCTCTGCACTGAGGCCTTAAAGGCACGACCAAGATCAAAGGCTTAAAAGTGCAGTGTTGTAGTTCTGTGTGCAATGCATATTAAGAGTACGTACACTCAGTCTCACTCTGTCCTCGAGCCACTATTGAACCGTGCCCCAGGGTATGCATCTCTGACAAAGGGCTTTTCTGTAGAGGTCATGTTGATTTCATTGATGGAGAAACAGATAGTGATCAAGGTTATGTGAGGGGGGAGGGGGGCATTTGGGGCAGCTATCCAATCATTGATGAAAGTGCAGGAATATAGGAAAGTACAAATCCACCTGGCTGGTCATGTTCTCCAACACCATCTCCCCCCAGCTCACAAATCACGCAACACCCTTCACTGTCAATGATACAGCTAATTCCCTCATCAAATCGTCGACACTATCCACCTCCAGCGCATTTGTGGGGAAACTGCTCCTCGTGTTAACTATGCATTGCACAAAACGGTTAAAACTGAACAGTGGTAATAATAATCATAATCCCTGCATTTGATATTGCACTATATCGTGTCGTTGAGATGTCTCAAAGCACTTTACAGGATATATTGTGAGAGAATTCTGACTGTATATTTTGTGGGTAAAACGTGGGAGCCAATTGCACACAGCAACGTCCCACAAACGGTCTTGGATTGAGTGGCCAAATAATATTTTTTTTTGGACGGATTATTACATCCAGAAAGTGTTCCACTAACTCACTAACAATCGGGTTCCTATTTACAGCTAGGTAAACCGAGTGGCGTAAGGAAACCTGCCCAAGATTGTGCCCTGCTTGGGAATCAAACCCGGGTCCTCTCACTTGCGAGGCAAATGCTCTAACCAATAAGCTACAGGACTCGTCAAAAGACACGTTAGGCTTAAGACAATGGCTCAATTGTTAGGGACTTCTTCAGTATAACGAATAAGGTATTGGATGGGAGTCCGTCTCTCTCATCTACACCCTATAGAATGTGGATGATCTCCATGAGATCACCCCCTCAAATCATCTTCTCCAATGTCAGCATTCCCAGACTCTGCGATCTCAGTCTCCTGGTTCTAGACCAGCTACAAATCGATTGTGTATAGCGGCACTTTGAGAGCCATACACTATTCCCAGACACGAACATTCCACCTCAAAGATCATGTGTGGAGGCCATGCTTCTGAAAGGCAACAGCTTGCCACGGCTACTTTAAACCTGCTCTTTGTTTCCGCAGCTGTGCTATAACCTGAAAAATGTTAATAGCAGAGATCAAATTGCAGCTAGTTTTTCAGACTGTGTATGCTCTGGTAACAGCTTAGAAGCAAAACCATTTGCCAACTTGGCTGGAAATCAAGGAATTCTATTGGAATTCACTAAACTGGCAGTGCCCAAAGCAATTCAACCTGTGGTAGTGTCTGCCAGCATCTTTTAATTACTTACCATTCAATTCTTTCCTGTGCGTTTTATCGTCACTGCTCCCATTGAGATCGCTGTACTGTCGCTTCTGTGAATTCTTGAATTCCTTCAGTGACAAGTAGAGAACCTTTCGTACCACTCGCTCTTCTGACCACTGAATGCCATCGTTGTAGTCCTAAAGGGACAAAGTACAAATGCACGGGTTAGTGTGTGGGAATGTGCTGTACATTGGTAATGTAATAATATCCTTGCATTTGACATAGCACTTTGTCAAGTTGTCGAGACATCTCAAAGCTCTTCACACAATACACTGTAGTCATGTGACTGTATTATGTGGGCAAAATATACTCCCAACATGGCTGGATTTACAAGACTTCTAAACAGGTCTGTGATGCAAACCAAAATACAAAACAATAATGTGCATTATATAGTACCCTTCATGCAGGAGGTGAAATATTATAATAATAATCTTTACATTTGACACAGAGACTTTCACAACCAGAGGACATCACAAAGGACGTCACAGGATATACTGTAAAGTGGTGTGTGTTTTGTGGTAAATGCGGCAGCTAATTATGTCCCACAAATAGCCACAAAGTGAGTGACCAATTTTATTTAGGGAATTGTTGGCCACAACACCCGGAGAAACTCCTGTCTCTTTTTGATGGCCATGGGATCTTTAATATCTACATGAACAGACAGACAGGATTTCTGTTTAACATCTCATCCAAAGGATGGTGCCTCTGACAATATAACACACTCACAGCACTGCATTGGAGTGTCATCTCTGAGCTCCAAGTCCCAATGCAGGGTTTGAACCCACAATCTTCCGACTCAGAGGGAAGTGTTCTGAGTCAGCCTGATACATTGTCTGAAAAATTATGTAAAAGTTGTGTGCAGTGTTTAACTGGTTTAAAATGTTTTTTCAATTTTTAAAAAATAAAAGTCTTAGAGCACCCATTTGCAGCGGTTATAAATTAAGTCGCAAGTTGATTCCTTCCAACTTTACGTTTCTATTGGCTTCAATTAACAGGGTTAAATAAACTCATGGTTAAATAACCCCATCATATAAATTCCCTACCATGCTTTGTTCATGTTTTAACCAGTTTATTCTTTCCCAAACTCCACAGGGATTCCAGTTTCCTTTGTTTTGCAATCGCCCCCCCCCCTCCCCTCCCGAAAGAGATGACTCATGCTGGGTACAATCCCATACGCCTTTTCCAAGTAACCACAGAGCTCAAATAATGTGGTCTCATTTGCAATATTCACAAACCACATTTGCGGATGACGCATTGCGGGATCTGCAGCCAACAAGTCGTAAATTATCAAAGTTTGATGTAAAGTCCAGATCACAAATTAGACCCCAATAAAGCATCAATGGGCTGTTCAACCATGGTGGGCCTCAAAATGGAGCCCAACACTCACACGGCATTGATCAGTGAAGCAGCAATGCTGATGAATCCAGCTCTGTATCTGGATTAATGAAGAATGGTATTAACTCTTCGCTCAAGCAGGTACGTTAAACTGCAATGGATTCAGGGGAGACGGTATGAAAGGGCTGCAATTTGTAACAATATAATAATCTTTGCATTTGACAAATCTATAACATCGAGAATATCTACATGTGTATCACAGAGATTTTGTAAAGTAAAGTGATTATTTGTAAGCAAACAGCCAATTTGGACACAGCAATGTCCCACAGACTGCTGAAAAGTGAACAACCAATATATCTGGAAGATTGATGGCCAGGACATCAGAAGAAACTCCCTCCTCTTTTAGAGACAGCAATTGGTTCAACATCTCATCCAAAAGATCTGAAAATGCAGCTTCCCCCTGCACTGTACACACCCACAAATACACAGTCCTGTGAAGCGCTTTCAGATATCCTCCAACTTTTAAGGCGCAATACCAAATTCAAGAATTATTATTATTTACACTGGAGTATCAGCCTGGATTATGAGCTCAAAGTCCCCACATAGGGCTTGAACCCACAGATCACAAATAGTTTAAAAATAGCTTTTTATTCTTTCCAGTCCCAATGAAGAGAATTGCCAGCTATTAAGCCTGTACGTTTTAAATAAAAAGCAAACATTTACACCTTGAGCAAATAGCACTCGCCAAACAAATGCACTGTGTACCCTGGTATTAAGTGGCAATGGGCTGTGCATTACTAAAGGAAGCGTCACACACTGATTTGTTTACTTGGTGCCTTAACTAATCCAGGCAAATAACTCAAGAGTGGGCATACCCCAAAAGCAAACGATTAATTCTATACGTTAACTCAGTGCATTTCTATCATCATCAAGGGCAACTTATCAGCAAGTTGAAAGAGACCATTCTTGGACCTTTTTTTAAAAAAAGGGGGGGGGGGTTAAGGAATAAGAGAGGCTTGAGGGAATAAGTACGGTATCAAATTAATTATAATGCACAGAGGTCTTTGTTGCCTGGAGTGCTCCTGTATATATTAAAAATAGTGTGTGTTGGTCTGCTGACGAAACATGCAGTTACCCAGAGCCAAGACTTTGTCATGGAACATTAGGAAACAAAGACACATCAAGATCAGTCCTGAACTCTGGCAAACACTTTTGCACTCCAGTGATAACATGCTGCTTTCTCTGTGGTCACATGGGTTTTACAGTCATTAGTTATGGTTTCTTGCCCTTGAATCTTGAATTCCTCAAATGTTGCACAGTTGCCAAGTGGGAGACTGGAACTGCATTAGCAAAGTCCAGCCTGCTCGAATCAGCACTTTCCTCGATATGAAATACGTCAAACTTAAAGCAGTCTCCCCCCCCACCTCCCAACGCACACACAACCGGAATGACCATTTCAAAACAGTCACTACCCAGTAGCCAGTTAAAGTCGGGACTTTGGACACGTTTTGCTCCCTGTTATTTTCAGAGCTGAATCCAGCACACTTTAGTATTGACTCAGTTGGAATCAGGTGGCTACAGAACATGTTCACACAATCTAAATTCAGCACCAGTGTCGCACACAAAGACAGAACTATTGTTGCTTTCCTTTGTAAAGAATGATTTATAAAAAAGTTGGTGTTACTCCCCCACCCCATTCTTAACGAGGGACAAAAGACAACACAACCTCTGCTCACACTTTAACTGCTTTTACAAGCCCCGGTTTGTTTGAAACGTCCAGGAAGAAAGAACTGCCTACATGAAAGGTGTGGAATAAATGCCAATTCTTGCTCACTTTCAAACAGTGTTTGAAACCTTCAACAGACAGCTGAACAGCAGATTGGACCTTGGATTAACGTCTCATCCAAAGAATGGCCCTCGAACAATACAGCGCTCCCTCAGCATTGCATTTTTAGTAGCAACCTAGATTGTGAGCTCAAATTCCGGGAGTGTGGAGATTGAACCCACAACCTTTTAACCCACAAGCAGAGAGTGTTACCAATTGAGCCCGGCTGACACCTAAGAAAACATTCCACCCAAATTTCCATCCGTACAGTACAAGAGAAGCCTGTTCTTTCACTAATGCTGCTGCAGCTATTTGAACCGCTCAACAAAATGAAGCTGTGGTAGACGTGCTGGCTTGCACTGACGGTCTCTGCTCTGAAGAAACAACGCAAACTGCCCATCCAAACCCCAAAACCTGACAGTTTGATGGATACAAGCTGCTTGCACAAATCCATAACGCCACTTTAAATATTTAAACACTTCAGTCCTTAGCCCAAACTTTGAGCATTATTCAAAACAACTCAGGATAACATTGCCGAAACATGCAAACAGAATCGACATATCAAGAGTATCAAGACAGCTGGAGTCTTGCCTGGCCCAAATCACAGGAATCTACAGTGTTGGCAGAAAAATAGTGAAGTACGTTTCACTTTGATGTCAGTTAAGTTAAATAAATAAAAGCAGCTCACTGTTGCCTACAAATACAGAGTCACTACACTTTACAGTAAAATCCTGTGAAGGTCTTTGAAAAGTTTTGACAACATAGTAAGGTGCTAGATCAAATGCCAGGCTAATTTGTTATGTTATTTAGTCACTGTGCTCTGTACAACGGGTGCCATTGGGATCTGGGTGCCCCATGTGGAAGTAATCACGTGCGTCAGCTACTGCAGAACAGAGAGGCTCAAAAGGACCATTGGAAAGAATAGCAACGTTTTGAGAATTGTCAACTTAATCTGCAACTGGCCTTACAGCCAAACTCTGGCCCCACACGTTTTTGAACACACCTAAGTTACATTCGAGAACACCAAGTCATGAGCATTGCACATAGACTACAGTAGCAAAGGTCAAATTATTGCCGTGATCCAAAGCTTGGCAGCAGTACTCAATACACTTAGTCTTCCTCCCACCCAAACACATGTTGACAGTGGTGTACAAGAGAGCAACCAGCTTACCTTTCCCATTCTAGTGTAGTAAAGCACTGATCTGAATACCGTTCCAAGTTAAATAATAATCCTCACAATTGGTATAGGTCCTTTGATGTTGGGCGAACGAACTAAAGCACCTTAAAGCATATATTTAAATTTACAGGATATATTGTCATTTGGAGTGTTTTGTGGGTGAGCGCAGCAGTCAATTTGCACACAGCAATATCCCACATACAGTCATGGAGTCAATGTGCAATTTCATTTGGGGGCTTGTTGGCCAGGACAATGGGAGGAACTCGCTTCTCTTTTTGAATCATGCCATGCAATCTGAACGGGCAAGCGGGGCCTCGGTTTAACATCTCATCCAAAGGACGTCACCTCCAACAATGCAGCGCACCCCAAGCGCTGTCATCTTAGACTTTTATGAGTTCCAAGTACCAATGTGGAGCTTGAACCAAGAGCCTTCTAACTCAGAGGTGAGAGTGTTACCAACTGAGCCAGGTTGATGTTGACAGAAAGTCTCAAGTACTTGTTTCTCTGGGACCCATGATGGATGCATTGCAGATATTGCATCAACATATCGCTCGTTTCTGTCCCACCATCACCAAAGAGACCAACTCCAGGACCTTGCTCAAATGGCCATCCTTCATAGGTTAGACTGGATTGAACACGTCTTACGGTCCATTCATGATGGACATCAGCCCAAGGCTGATTCTCCCTCCTCAGTCTAAAATCACTTGAAGCCTATGCGGTTACTCTGACTGAGATCAGCTAACTAAGCAAACAAGTTAGGACTTTCCAGATCTGCTAGAACCACAGTTTTTAGGG